CCAATATCTCTCATCAGGTTTCTCTAGACCAGATTTAAGTATTTTCCTTCTAGTTCATCTCTCCTAAGGCAGTTGTTCTATCCCTAAATAATTTTACTCGCCTTTGTCCCCATTGAAACCCCATGTCCTTCCCATTCAAACAATATTTAGGATGTGGAGAGTACACTACACTCTCGATAGTTGAAATCGAATGTACCTAAGCGGGGCTTTTTTGTAGAACTAGCAGAGCCCTTTCTTATCCGCCTGTATTTCTAAGCAAGCACTGACAACAGACATTTAATTTAGTTTACTATCTTAATATAACACAGTTCCTGAAATATTATGTTGTTTTGTAGGTCATCTTAACATTCATATTGATGGATAAAGGCAGTAATCTGTGACCAGTTAAGCATTTTAAAGGCATTTACTCAAACTACAAATATATGTTGCTTGGATTTACCAGAGTTGCACATGAACGGCATCCTGTATTCCTGAAGAAAATCTTGTTTCTAAGCATTTTCCTGGTGTCTTGGCGAACATTTTCTGTGAGCCATTATTAATTTCATGCAGCACTTAGCTAGTTCAGAAAAGTCAGGGTTGGTATTGCTTCCTGTTGAATTGAAATTTGTTGAAAATTACCAGAACACTTTTATAAAAATAACTGCTTATAATTTGGGTATTTTCTACAGAACTTCATGAATTTTAACAAATTGAAATATGACCTTAGACTGAGTGTGAACAGATTCAGTTCTAGGGGATAATATTTAGAGTTGATGACTGACAAGTTTTACTTGCCTAGCTCCAGTTTTTCTAAGGAATGAATACTTGTTTGAGTGACTTCTCTTTCTCTCTCTCTAAACTACTCAATCCTACTGCCTTCCTAATGTTCCTGTTTTTCAAAATACCCCTTGTTAATATCTAACATGCTAAATGCGATCCTTGGGGCACTTAAAAAAAATACAATTTCCCCAAACTGAAACTAATAACTGCTTACTTTCAAGCTGTTTAAAAAGATGTAATTTTTCTTTTATGTTAGTGTCTTTCAGGTTTCAGCTAGCTCCATACAAACACAGGATACAGTCTGCTTCTGTTTTCTTCCATTTTTTTTAGCAATATAGTCCAATTTCAACAGGCAAGTCACTTGGAAACACCATTAGTCTGAAAGCAAAAGAAATTAAAACAGCCTGTGTAGTGATTCATGGGAAATAGGAGTATAATATCTTTATTTTTTGTAGTGACTGCTTCCAGTTGCCATATAACAATACCAGAATGATTAGTGAGAGTGTTTATATGTAAGACAGTGGCACAAAACGTCATTCTCAGTAATGCTCCACAAATAAGGAAGTCACTGCTCAATGGAGTTTAAAGGTGTTACCCACTGTACCAAGAACACAATAAAGCTTCTTTAGTCTAATACTGCCCAGGATCCCTGAGTTTCTACCTAAGCAGAAACTACTTAAACTAGGAAATACTGGGCATGTGTATAGACACATTCTACCTTGTCAGTCCTGGGTGATTCTGTTGGCTAGGGCTTGCCAGAGTGATATATCCATTACATTACTTGCACTATTAACATAGTTCAGCAAAGAGCTGCTCTGGAGGGAGTCAGTGTGAGAGAAGACTAGATAAATATACTAACTTCCTCTGTAGACTCATGCTATATTTTCTTATTTGTCAACATGAATTCAGGTGCTTTTTACCAGAGTTTGGAGAGTTGAACTGACAGGCACCAACATTCACAGCCACAGAGGCAGTGCCACACACAAGAGCAGACGTGTCTTGTCACAGAGAGTTGCAGACGTGTGTCAGCAAGTGCAGTACTAGACACCAAAACAGAGGACATGCTAGCAGTACTAACCCCTACCTGCTTGAGGGTGGTACATTTGAGTGTATACACCAATATAGCCAGCCTTTGTTCTGTTAGCCTACCTAAAACACAGTCGTTGCCTGTATAAAGACATCGGCCAACAGTTTCCTTTACAGTACCGCTGTTCCCAATCATCTATGAGAAACACTCTGTTGTTTGACAGGGATGCACTAGGGCCATTACTGATGAAATTTTTAAGGTTCTGTTCATCAAGGAAATGGCCATTCATGCTTTTAATTCTGATGGTCCTCTTACAGTGACTGGAACCTACACCACTATGTAATAACACAATTCCAGCTGCTCCAACAGGAATCTGGCCTTATTCAACCACAGGAAACTGAAGCGTACAGTTGTACACCTGGACACATTCCATGATATTTTATTTAAATGTTCCCATCAAGTAAGCATTTTTGGATTTCAGTTTCTAGCCTTAGCCATAACTCAAATTGTGAATTCATCCCGAATAGTACCCAAGGCTGAGAATCTTAAACTGATAAGTAAAACACCTTCATAAGTGGTTAGTTTAATAAAGAATCCATTTATTTTGATAAGAAGGGAGCTTTTAAATCATGTATCACAAAGAATCACACACGAAACATTAAGGATCACAACAAAAATTATCGAGACAAAGAATTCATTAGAGTTTGATTACATATTATTCTACAAATATGGAAGACAGCTGCAACACTATCACTAAAACCTACCAAGCTTTCATTTTTAATTTGCTAATTGAGCCAATGAATATTCATGATCCCAAACTTGTAGCAATTCCGCAGTTCATTTGTCTGCTATGTGATTTGTAACATTGCCATAAAAATCCAGACTAGTAGAAAATGTCAAAGAAAACTAACAGACTGTGCAAATTTCCCTTCTTTTCAGATTGTACCTTCGCCTCTATGCAATAGTAAAGTACTATCCTGAGGATCCTATTCAGATTTAAATTCATGTCCTTCTGAACAGTGAAAGCAACTGACCAAAGTTTATCATTTAGGGCTCTAAATTTGTACCTTTCTCTGATTCATCACAGAACTGGCTTTAAATTTTTTTCTTAAAAAGATGGCACTTGCAATGGTCCATAACTTATCTACAACAAACATAAACTAAAGATAAAATAGTAAAATTAGTGAACACAACAAGTACTGCACCAATAACTTTGCACAACAATTCCTTAATATTGGCAGTCATTCTAGATTACTCTCTTAATTTAATATAAAGCACTGGATTAATGTTTAATATAAAATGACCCTTCTAATAAAAATTAAAATGTGCGACTAAATATTAAGGGATTTAAACTGTGTCATTTGAAAATATTTGTTTGTCCATAAGTTATTCATCTGTGAAACAAACCATCATAGTTTGTTACCACACATTTTTAACAACGTTTGTTTTAATAATACATTGTGGGACATGCCCAAAAGATAGGATTTTTACAACCGTAACAAATTTCCCTGACAAAAGTATTTACAAAAGCGCAATTTATGCCATTCTAAAACCAATTTAAATACAAAAAATAGCTCACTGGTTGGGACTGACATTTGCCATGCAAAAATCTATCACAACAGATGTCTCAAATTTCCTGAGACATTTTCTTAAGGAAGGAAAGATAAAAGTATATCGGCTAGATTCTCACAAATTATTGGACTTCAATCCATCGATATATTTATATAAGGCTCCAGTACTGCCACTTAATGCATGATCTTCAGCCTAGAGCACTTGACTAGAATAAGCAGAGCCTATGCAGGAGCACGAATAAACACAGTTTACATTAGGCATACTAAACCCAGCTTACATTTTTAGCATCAGTAGTTTCAAATAAATTTCCCAGGAAGCAGCTGTACATGGCTACAGGCTTGTTTACATGTAGCACTTTTATTTCAGTTTTGAGACTGATATTTAAACTGGTTTTGCTGAAGTTGGGAAAAAAATGTTAAACCATCATTTGTTTTTATATAAATAAACTTTGCATTTTTTATTTTCAACTGATTAAAAATCAAGTTACATTTTAGTGAATATGAGGGTATCCAGAAGGCACCTATCTCTGAATAAGTGATAAGATGGTTGAATGGATGGTGGTTAAAAGGCTGCTATGCTGAAAAGCATTATTAGTTGCCCTATTCTAGGTCTTTACAGGTTAAGTAATTTGCATTTTAAGTATCCTTAGATTTGAGGGGGAAAGTAGCCTGTCCCGTATTTCCAGCATGGTGCACAGACAAAAACAGTGCTGAAGGTTCAGTACTTAGTCCCAAAGCAAGATTAAAGGGTATTTTTAATGTGAGAGGAATAAAAGGCCCATACAGGAAATCTTGCAGGAAATAAGACAGCATATTTCTGAAACAAAGTGGACATTAGAAAAACAAGGAAGGGAGATTGTTTAATGTTCGTTTCTCTTGTTGATGGCAGTGGGAAAACATGTAATCTCTTTGTAAAATAAACAAAAGATACAGTAGAAGAATAGCTTGACACAAATTGACTCAGATAAGTCTTACAGTCTCTGGTCTCTGATCAAAGCAGGTGATTACCATGCTGTTTTCTGACCTTGTAATCTATTAATCACGTGTGTTATACAAATATTTATTTAAATACAAGCAAGTTGGCATAGCCCTACATATTGGCTAAGCATATGAATCAATGGAAAAATATAAGTAGCATCATAGAATCATAGAATGGTTTGGGCTGGAAAGGACCTTAAAGATGATCTAGTTCCAACCACCCTGTCGTGAGCACTAGATCCAGTGAAAACACTCAACATTTTCAGAACACCAAACATATGGATTTCTACTCATGTTCTGAGCTCCTATTAAAGCACTTGTATGGGAGTCCTCAAGATAGTCTCTTAGTAAACCAAGCTAGAAGCCATCCCTGATGAAGCACATTTGTGGCTTTTAGTGTTACAGAAAACAACTGACTGTTAGTCAGTAAAATCTATCTCTATGAATGATTCCATACAAATACACAGATCATATTTCAGGTTTGTTTTTCAGTGCTGGAAAACCATTATGAAAGCAAGCATGGAACTTGAATGTTTATTTTCTGCAGTAGAATACACTTGGCAATGTCTTATGAAAAGAGGTATTTTCTTTTCCAAGACAAAATTAACCATTGCTATGAACTGTCAGAATTCCTGAGTGGCAGACAAAGGAAAGTTAGCTGAGTATTTTGGACAGTAAAGAAACACTTTATTGAAATCACACCAGTGGACACATGCCAGAGAGAGAAGTACATTTTATAGCCCTCTGAGATACTCACTGTAAAGTATTTAATCCCTTCATGTCTCTGAAAGGACAATACACCTGCCTGTGTGAAAGAAGTGATGAAGACAACAGTCTATTGCTCAAACATGACTGTTTCCAAAAACAACAGACTCCATAGGCAGTAGCTGAGAGTCCTTTTAGAAAGGTTTTCAGGCATCTGACACGTTTATTTAAAAGATATGTCATAGGGTCATATTTGATACTCAAGATTTTGAAGCTTATTCTTCAGTTGAGTGAAACTCACTTTTTTCCAACTTTGTCAATAATCACAAGAAGAGTTAGTAGAATAAGCAGTACTACAGTACCTTAAACCAGAAGTCCCTCTATTAAATTGCCTTCTCTCTTACAAAGTCTAATAATGGACACTTACAGGAGTGTAGAAATAAGTATATAATGAAGGATTCTTCCTCGCTATATCATCCTGTTTTCATTGAATTAAAGGTTTAGGAACCTCCTGAGCCAGTGGTCAGTCGCATTTGGATGACTATGTTCAAGAGCCCCTCTCGACCTATTCTCCAGAAACATGGTAAATCCATTTTTGACAATATGACATCCTATGGCAATTAGAAAGCTCATGATTGTATAGGTTTCCATAATATTTACCCTTAATCACCTTGTCTTACACCGGAAAACCTTGTTGCATCTAGTAACCCTGTAACAATGTTGCTAATGTTAACTGTCACTGCACAGGTATTTTTAGGGTTAATTTTCCCAAATACATTACTTTGACTTTCACAGCACTAAATTTAGTCTCCATGTCATTATCTCAGTTCAGCAGTAGACGAATCTTCCCCAGGTATCCATACTCAAACTCTGCTTTTGACAACCATGAATACGTACGAGTAATCAGTAAACTCCATCATTACTTCTTTCTTCCAGGTGACTCAGGACTTTTTGAATAGCACATGATCAATATTCTCCATGTCTACTGGAACCTTCTAGTAGAGTTGCTAGGCCTGATTTTCCAGTACAAACCCCACATTTACTCTTCTATAAACTGTCATAGGTATTTCCTCATTCTTTCCTTATTACTGTTTTTACTGTTCTACCTTGTTTAAAATTAATTATCTGTCTTAAAGTACTCAGGAAACAGTGCTTGTATTAGAGACCAATGTGGTATTTGTGACTTGCTATTCCTTTGGCACTCTAGACAATTTCAAGAACAGGTTATGTACTACAGCAAACACCAATTTCTAGTTCTTTCAGAACAACTTCAAGGATTTTTTTCTTAAATTTTTTTCTTAGTATATGTAAAATTTGAGGAGAATGCAATTAGTGTTACAGTGACCTTGACCCAACATAATCAGGGCCTTGTGTTCTTGGGATGGATTAACCTTCTGTTGTGAGTTTTTGCTCCAAAAAGCAGTGATGTATGAGAACACACACATGTGCTGTCTGCATGACAGCCCATCCATATGATAAATATAATGCTATGTAAAGAGAACTGAAGTCTTCCATTATTACTTTCTTCTTCATTTGAAGTCTCTCAGTCGCTAGTAGTCAATAGCATCTTAGTGAATAGTTTAAAAAGACAACAAGAACAGAAGAAAATAAATGCTGTTGCTCTCTGATGTGTCAAAACCATATTGCTTCTAAATGCAATTCCATTTCACTTCTTGAGAAATCTGTAAAGAAACAAATTACCAATGTTATAGTCTGGGAAAAAAAACAATAAAAACAACAAAATGGACATTTACCGAAAGACAACAAATGGACATTTACAAAAAGACTAGTGATGCAGGGAGATATATTCATCCTACATTAAGACAAAAAAGTTGGAAATAAAAGCGACCATATTTATATCCTCAAGAGGGGCAAGTCTGGTGTGTAAACAAGTTTCTGAAATTGAGCCAGAAGAATTCCTGTCAGTTCTGTGTCTCTAATGATAATAAGCTAATGTTTTTGTAGACTTTTCAATTTTAAGATTTAAAAGCAATTACCTGATCTTGAGAATGCTTCTGTGAGATAAACACACATTATTATCCCTTTATTATCCCTTTATTAGCAAGGGCAATGGAAGAATAGAGTTTTTGATTTGCCACGTAATTAAGTGATTACCAGAACCAACAGTGAATCACCCACTCATCCTCTCTCCATTGCTAATATTGCTCAAACTGACCCTAATAGTGTGTATGAAAGCAAATGCCTACCTGGAACATTGCGGTGATGGTCCCACAAGACTTGTGAGAAGAAAGAAAAAAAACAACAAAAAAAAAAGAGAAACAGAGGAAAAATACTGTTTTACTAATTCTGTTTCACTTACAAGTCACACATAAGAAAAATTTGTACAGACCACCTTAAGCTAAAAAAAAAGAGACAACTCTAGATGGAGAGAGAAGACCAGGGTATTATCTCATTTGTCATCCAAAAAATTAATTATGGACTCTGAATCCCTTCCCTGTCATCCCCACCGCAGCCCATCCTTGCCCCCAGGCCCTGCCTGCCAGGGCCTCACGCGGCCTGCTGGGATCAGCACACGGGCAGCGCGGTTCACGTCCTGGACACCTCCAGCTGAGGGAATTCACCCCTGCAGCACAAAAAGCCTCCTGTCAAGGCTCAGGAGCCCTGTCCCGGAGCTCCGGCCAGTGCAAATAAACGCCTCAGCCAAAGCCGGGGCGCAGCAGAGCCCTCGTTCTCTCGCTCCCCCGCTAGATGGCGCCGCCGGCTGCTACGGGCCATGGCGCCGCTCGGCCCGGCCGCCATCTCGGGCGCGAAGCCCCAGCACATCTTGGGGGGTTCGCGGCCGATCTGCTCCCACCGCCCTCACCTGCTCTCCGCCCCCGACCCCTGGGAGACTCCCCGCCCCAGAGAGCCTGACTGGCTCTGGCAGCTCCCATGGAGGCGGCAGGAGAGGTTCCCCCGCTGCCGGGCAGCGTATTTAGGCTGGCGGGGGCCCCGGCCGTGCGAGCCTGGCCGGGTGTGAGGTGCGGGCCGTGCAGACCCCGGCCGGGATGAGCCCCGGCATCGGCGAAGGCTGCGGGACTTTGAGACCGGGGCTGCACATGAATGGGGCAGTCGCCCCACGCGTTCCTTTGTGAGTCTTTGCTCGCCACGTGGGACATCGGCGTGGCTGCCCTTGCAGTGCGGGAGGATGGCCAACTCAGGGAGTCACCCCGGGGCTGGGGTTGGAATGGAAATCACACAGTCCAGCCCTTGGCATCGAGAAACGCTGTGAATATCTCCAAGCCTGAAGATTCCACATCCCCTCTGGCCGGCCTTTGCCAGGTTTGGAGACACACACCAAATCTAGGTTCTTTTATTGTGCAGAAGATACACTCTCCAATGGTCATTCCTTAGCCCAGTAGCCAGCCATGGAAGACATCTAGAAGTGCTCCAGGATGGAGAGGATCCTTCTTCAGTTGCTTTGCAGTTCTAGGAGGTAGAAATAAAAGCTTACTTGTCGGCTGTGTCTGGTTTTTGATGAAGCCCTGTCTTCGGTGCCTGGCTCATGGAGTACTTGGGATGCCACTCCAGACTTGTCATCTCAATGTCTGTGTGATCTTATAGGAAAAACATTTTCCATATTGCAGCTTGTCTAGAAATACCTGGAACCTCACTCAGACAAAGTTCAGAATTATGCAAACCACTCAAGTTCTGTTTCTATTAAAGAAGGGATCAGGTCATGAAGTTGAACAATTTCCTCTGGATGTATAGCAAACTTATGAACAAGGAATTATGAAATTAAGAACAGATGGGAACTGCTGAAACCCACTGAACAAATCTAATGTTGAGTTAGGAAAAAAAAGTCTTGTTTTGTGGTACTTGAGTGCTAATGAACATAAAACTGTGTCATCTCTTTAATTTCAAAGTCTTTCTCAACCATAAAACTTTAAAAAAAAGTTTTTAAGTATTTAACAAAAGTGCTGAGATTATTATGTGAAGAACTTATGTTTAAATACCTTTCGATACGTGTCTTCCAAACTTGTATACGGTAGATAGGAACTCTTGGGAAATAGAGTGATTTTTTTTTCTTGAGAATCTTATAACTATATGACCAGTTAGTCCACTCTCCTTGATACAGCATTCACTAAAAATCTGTGATGCAATACATTGATTTCCTTTTGATGTTTAAATTTGGAACTTAATACTGAAATTACAACAGGGAAAGAAAATGAGGGGGAGAGAATTCATAATTCTTAAGAAAATCATTCAAAGTTGTGCCAGGAAAGGCTCTGACTGGACATTAGAAAGCATTTCTTTACCAAGAGGATGGTCAAAGACTGGAACAAGCTTCACAGAAAGGTGGTCAATGCCCCAAGCCTGACAGTGTTTTAGAGGTATTTTAACAATGTCCTTGCCAACACACTTTAACTTTTGGTCAGCCCTGAATTAATCAGGCAGTTTGATTAGATGATCCTTGTAGGTACCTGCCAACTTGTAGTTGGTAGCAGTAGGTAGTAGTCTTGTGTACTCTATTCTTAAGGAGGAAAGAAATAACCTACATTCTCAACACTGCCAGTAAATGGAAGCAGTTTAGCTACAAAAAGTTAGTTTGGATGTGTTTTGGAGGATGAGAAGTGAAGGACCAGTGTTCCTTTGAAAATATTTTAAAAAATAATTGTTGAGTCAAAGTTTAAAAATGGCAAGATTTGGGAGAATAAAGGAAAGAGAATAAACCAGGGGGAGGAGGAGAATGTACAAGATGCAAAATAAGTCAATTTCATAGAAGCCCAGAATGGTTTGGGTTGAACGAGACCTTAGAGATCATCTTCTTCCAATGTCCCTGCCATGGCCACAGACACCTTCCAAAGACCAGGTTGCTCAAAGCCACAGCCAAACAGACCTCAAACACTTCCAGAGATGGGGCATCCACAGCTTTCTGGGCAACCTGTTCCAGTGTCTCAGCACACTCACAGTCAAGAAAGTCTTCCTAATATCTAATCCAAACCTGCCCTTTCAGTTTAAAGCTGTTCCCCCTTGTCCTATCACTACATGACCTCATAAAAAGTCCTTCTACAGCTTTCTTATAGGCCCCCTTTATGTACTGGGAGGTGCTCTAAGTCTTCCTGGAGCCTTCTCTTCTCCAGGATGAACAGCCCCAAGTCTCAGTCTGTCTTCACAGGAGAGGTGCTCCAGCCTTCTGATCATCTTCACGGCTTCCTCTGGACTCACTCCAACAGGTCAATGTCCTTCCTGTGATGAGGACCCCAGAGCTGGATGCAGCACTTTGGGTGGGGTCTCACCAGATCAGAGTAGAGGGGCAAATCACCTCCCTTAACTTGCAGGCCACGCTGCTTTTGATGCAGCCCAGGATGTAGAGTTGGCTTTGAGCTGCAAGCACATACTGCCAGCTCATATCCAGCTTTTTATCAACCAGCACCCCCAAGTCCTTCTCAGCAGGGCTGCCCTCAATCCATTCTCAACCTACCAGTACCTGTGTATTTTTTTAAATAATTTGAAAATTATTTCAAATTCAAGTTCAAGTAATGAGCCATTTCTGATCACTTTTTACCAGTGGAACATGTAATAATTTGAAACAATTAGGAAAATAATACCCCATAATTCAGAAAGGTTTCATACATGGGATGAGGGCATCATTCAGTGGAGTGGCTGAGATATACAAAATCTTTTACTGTGAGATAATTGGTTTAAGCTTTCTTCTTGCCAGTGAGAGTCTAGGAGTTCTCGTCACTTTCTGGACTAGATCAAGTAATTGTACCCTCATGTATCCATCTCTCTGTGCTGACCACAGTGATGATCTTGGCTGAGTAGTTAAGTGTGATATGGCTGCATTTTAGATATCTACATTATGTGAGATGAATTCCATCCTCTTCAGGTGCCTTAGATAGCTGAACCTACATATGAAAGCGATTATGTTGTTATTGCAAATGGTAATGATTAAAAGTGAGGAAAATCAGGCACCATTTATTTATGGAAATGTGAGGAAAAATCCTGCATGCACACATATCAGTATAAACACATATAAACACTTATGTTAGAAAATCGATGCTGAAGTGTCTTCTCCACTCTGAAACTAATTTAAACAGCAGCATTCATAATAAGCAATATTTTTCTTATGCCAAACACTGGTTTTAAAACCACTGGCAGTGGTTTTAAACATACGAAACTCTTTGAAGAGAAAAGAGAAACATGCAAACAACTGACTTGTGCAGAAACACTGGGATTTGGGATTAAGCATTTAAAGAGGTAAGGGCCTTCTCTGCCCTGTGGAATTTAAACAAGTGCAACCCAGCCCTCTTCTGTATCTGAGCAATGTGTGAGTTGTGTGGGTGATGTCTTACTAGTATCCAATACCAAGTCCAAATAACAGATACAGAGAAGTCAGTGTTCAGGTGCATTGGTCTCTTCCCCAGTGGCTGTTCAGTTGTTTGAGACACTAGATTGAAAGAGGTGTCCATGCTCCAGCAGTGCTGTCCCATGCTGCAAGCAGCAGGTAATGATGACAGTGCCTGCCTGGAGTGAGCAGGTCTGGTCAGGGCTATGGCTCTCATCCCTTTCTTTCCCCAGGTATGAGCCTCCCTGCACTGGCTCACTCTGGACTCATCTATTTCCACTGCTGATCTCACCACAATCTCTCTGTCTTTCTGTAAGGGGCACTTTGGATCAGTTTTTGTGGTGTCTCAGTATCTTGCAGAGGGATCAGCAACATGCTTTGTGTCTAGTCTGTGATCTTGTCCATTTCTTGTCATTTCAGTCATGGTGTTCAGTCTATCTACAAAGTAGTTGTACATAAAAATGTATATTTATCAAAGTATTTTTATATAATAACACAGAGAGCGAGCACACACAGCAGCCTGACTGTAGAGCTCTGCAGACTTCCTACCTGGTGGTGATACCAGCCAGGCTTCTCCTCCAGAGGTCCCAGGCTGTGCTGAATTTGGTCACCAGAATACTTCTGTTATGAACTCCCAATTTTTTATAGTTAAATTACAAATAACTTAAAAAGAATAGTCTCTTCTATTGTGTATTTCCTTTTTTCTTTTGGGAAAGGTAACTCTAGTTTATCAGATTCACTAACCTGGGCATATATATGGTATTATCCAGCAACCTGTAGTCTTTGTAAGCATAGAACAGGAAAAACACTCACTATTCACTCATCCAAAGGGCAGGCAGAAGCGTATATTCCCAGATATCTGCAACACACACCAGGAAACAATTTTATCTCTAGTCATCTCCGTGGGAAGCAGGTGTTGTTTTTCTAATTTGCACAGTTTTGTGCAGACCTCTTTCAGCTATTTCCTATTTCCTCCTGAAAATG